AAATCAGTTGAAAAATATAGGAAATCTGATCGAATATATAAATGTAAAGACACACACACACACACAACCTGGGTTTTATAATAAGTATGATGTCATAACTAAAACAAAGAAAGGAAAAAATTGAACAACTGATTGGTTTTTTTTTTTACACTTATGAACCCTTTGATAAAACATTTGAGAAATTTGTTGTCAAATAAAAACAAGACAAAAATATTTTTATTTTGAATTATTACATTTCATGTGACTCAAGGCCAAAATGGGGGTGGGGAAGGTTGGTCATCATTGACCATCCTACTCCTAGTTAATGTGGTTCATAACCCAGTCATTCATTACAATTTACTTATACAACACAAGAACTCACTGATCACCAATAAACCCAACATATACCATAATATCGCATATTCACTGAGATTCTACTAAAACACACATGACTTGATATATATACAATTTTTTTTTTATAAAAATATATAAAACAAGACAAGAATTTTATTTCCAAATTTTATTTTTCTTTTCATTCTTGCACCAGTGACAACACAAAATTATCAATATTCCCACCGACCCTAGAAGCAAGTCCATAGAATCTTCTAGTAATGTCATAATGACATCATCATCATCACATGATCAAGATTTGTCTCCCTGTTTATTTATTTCCCCACTTAGCTGCAAATATCAAGGTCAAATAACACCTCTGGAAGTTAAGAAGAGAGATAAGAATGTGGGAAGGTAGGGGAAGTATTTCAAAGTGTGAGAAAATATCACATTACACTGGATACACTTTCCTAGTTAACCCCCCCCCCCCATTTCCTGCAATGTAACATCTCAGCACAGATTGAATAGACATCCTTCACTTGTTACATCACAGGCTTTTGTTGAGGCTTTGAAAGTGAAAATGTAACATTTGATAATGTATTCATGATTGTCTTTTGAATTGTTATCATGGATGCAAAATCATAATATAAAATCTGATGACATCACTAATCACCCAAAGTTACATACATCGTTAATCTATTGATGTATTTAGGGTTAGACATAAGTGGAAGTGACATTCCTACTTATATCTTCACTCATAAAAACTCATGCCATTGAGAAGATCAAAGGCAACTTCACACAACAATGTCACCATATCAACATGTAAAATTAAAAAATGATGTCATCAGGTCTGGTTGTTTGTCACATGACTTATAACATCACAAGTGGTTTAAGTAATGCAAACATTTCTTTTAAATTAACAACATTGGAAAAACATGTGAATTGTTGCACCACTAAATGGCCTACAGAGAGCAATGCCAATTGAAGGATAACCGAATTCAAATATGTGTCACCCATCAGAATATCATGTGATATGTAAAATCACAAAGGCATGACAACACTGCAATTTCACTAATTAAATGTCACAGTCAAAATATTATGTTACCGCTGATATTAGGAAGCCAAAATTAACATTAAATATAATAAAAAATAGCTTTTCCTGTCAAACTAAGTAGAGCTCAGTAATGAGTAACGTTATAATATTAGGTCAACAAAAGGAAGTCATGACATTGTCCCACATTCCTAAACCCATGGTCAGGTAATGTTAAATATTATGTAAAATGTAAAGGTCAGGATGTCAAGTAAACACCTGTACCCAAATTCAAAAGCTATCCTAAATTAAAAACTGTGATGTCACAGTGATGGGAAGTCATGTGACCTCTGACCATATGTATCCAAAATCTATTGACATTGCTAATAGTGATGTCATAATGTTAGGATTTTATGTGACCTATGACAATCTGAAGCAGAAGTCAAGGAACACACAACCCCCAAAAAAACAAAAAAAAAACACATGACCACATGACCCCAAGTCCAAATTAAAAAAAAAAAAAAAAAAAAAAAGTGGTGACATTCTGAAGTCGGGAGGTAAGGTGACCTGTGACATCGCATGGTCAGGATGTCAATGGACCTGAAAGACAAACAAAGGAAAGCTCAAACAAAGAGTTGAAATAAAAAAAATGACAATAGGAAATAAAATTTTCCATTCTTTTTTTTTGATCAATAATTTATAATCAATCTATTTTCAATTTTACAAAAACAACATTTTTATAATTTTTGCTTATATTTTTTTTATTTTTGCTTATATTTTTTTATTTTTTATTTTTGCTCAGGCTGAAATAGACAAAGAAGAAAAGAAAAATGCGAAAATGAATAAGGAAGAGAAAAAAATTAATGAAAAAGAGGAAGATATTTCTTTGTACACATCTATACAAAAGTAACTGTACAAAGATGAATGTATGTGTGTATGAACACACACATTATATATATATATATATATATATATATATTTGTGTGTAGAAATATATAGAAATGTGAAAATTATATCTAATTATAATGGCAAATAAAATATTTAGGAAAATGAATAGAAAAGAGAAAGAAAATAATGAAAAATTATGACTAAAAAAAAACACAAAAACGTTATACATATCCATATATGTATTTACACATGTATATCAATGTATTCCATTATATATATATATATATATATATGTGTGTGTGTGTGTGTATGTATGTATGATTTGCCTTTATTTACACACATGCATTCACACACAAATATATGCATATATGTACAAATCCAAAAAAATATTTATATTTTTCATATTTAGATATTAATGACAAAAGTAAATTAACAGAAATACATGTATTTACATATACACATAAAATATATATGATGCAAAATATGTGTGTGTGTTTGTGTGTGTAACTGAATGGATTTTGAAGGAAAAGAATAGATAAAAAAGAAAGAGATGAATTTTAAAATGCAGAAGAAGAAAGAAAAAGTAAAATGGGAAAAGAAATAAAGCTAGAAAAATAAATGAAAAAAAATTTAACATAGTAATATATTTCTGTACATATCAGTGAATATCTAATTTGTGCACACATAAGGTTAAACATTTTAGCTAAAATTTGCCTACAAATGAACATTTAAACAAGCATACACACACACACACAGAGGGATTCATATGTACAAAAAAATTATCATTATATATCATGCACACACATATATCTTCAGCATTATATATATATATATATATATATATATATATATATATATATATATATATATATATATGTAAAATCTGTGGGTAAATAATCCAAGTAGATCCTAATAATATAAAATATTAAAACTGATCCACAAGAGAACTCAATATATTTATTATAGAGCATAGAAATGAATTGTAGTTCTTCGTTTGTCCTATTACCCCATTCAGATGGACATTTCATCCCCGGGGTATTCTCCCAGGGGCTTGTCAATGCAAGAACATTTGTTACAAAGAAAAAAAGAATACCCCAGAGGTGAAATGTCCATCTGAATGGGGTAATAGAGTTTTCATTTTTATGAAATTCATATATATATATATATATATATATATATATATATATATATATATATTTTGATGGTTGGATAGATGTTAGAATCTATCTCTGAGATTGAGCACTTTCTAATAATGACATATATAATATATAAATAATTATACATATATATATTTATTTATATAGACTTTATTTATATATATATATATATATATATATATATATATATATGACGTCAAAGGACAAATATTTTCTATGAAAATTTCTCGGACATTCAGGCCGGTAAATGTTATTTAATACTGTTTATTATAAACAGAGCATTTACTTAAATACTTGTATCTATAAAAAAAAAAAAAAAAGAACGTTAAACATAGATATATATATATATATATATATATAATTTAAAGAAAAACAGACCACTTTAAGGCTCCATTGTAATAATTTATTTCACCAGAGACTTATTTTTCCCTAGATCTTCAGACATCATTTTCACAAGGTGAAACGAAAAATTAAATTAAAATTTACACTTTTGATGGGCAGTATTAAGCTTATATAAGTTGACATAGAATGTAGCAAGGGATGGTGTGAAAGACATGGTCGAGTTTAGAGAGGGAAGGGAGAGTTTTAAAATTTATTTTTATATTTCTTTTTTCATTATAATACTTAATATGAGGAAGGAGGGGGTAAGGATCAGACATTGACCTATTTAATTTCCGTAACTTAACGGAAATGATATTATAGGAATTTTAAAGGAGAAAAAAAAAAAAAAAAAGAAAAAAAGGGGAAGTAAAACAAAAATAGATGTTTTTAGGTTTTTGGAGGAAGAAGAGGGTGGTATAGATTTAGCAATTAGATAAAAACAGATTTTAATGTTTGATAGTAATTTAAATGTTTTCACCTTTTGAAAGTGATGTCTGAAGATCCAGGGAAAATTCAAAGTATCTGGTGAAATAAATTATTACAATGGAGCCTTAAAGTGGTCTGTTTTTCTTTAAATTAAATTATTCACTCTGAATTAACATTGAGCTCTCAGGATTTGAAATCCTCCTTGGGATTATCCATACAGATTACCAATATTTTATAAATATATAATATATATATATATATATATATATATATATATATATATATAGTGTGTGTGTGTTTGTGTATGTATGTGTGCAAAATTTCAGATATAACTAAAATATATCTATAAATGGACTATGAATAAAGACAAAAGGAAAACATTTTTCATTGTTTAATGGATTTATCAAGGCTGCAAATGTATGGACGAATATTCATGAGCATCTCTTAAATTTAAAAATTTTGAAAAACTAACAACATTTTAACTTTTATTTATAAATATTTGTTGCAAAATAAAATCCTTACATTAGCTTCAATAAAGTCCACCAGAGTACAGAATGCATTGGCTAAGTTTTCTTTTTGTCTTTATTCATTCATTCATATATACATACATACATATATTATGAATATATAGTAAAGATAGAGAATACATATACATCATCTACATTTCAATATACATGTGTACAGGTGTGTGTGTGTGTGTGTGTGTGTGTGTGTGTGTATATATATATATAGTAACGAAAAATGAAATAAAGAGAAAAAAAAAAGAAGAAATTGGTCTGGGAAGTACCACAAGGAGACTATCATTTTAATTAAACCTGGCTATGTTGTTTACAGGTTGAATGTTTATCAGGAAGTGAAGAAAAATCGGGCAAAGAGCGAGGAGGTGCTGTCATCATTGAAGGTGGAGGAAGAGGAGGAGGAGCAAAAGGATGTCCACTCCCACGAGAAAGGTTGACTGAAAAAAAGAAAAGAAAAGAGAAATGACTTAAAATTAAAAATTAGATTGACAGTGAAATTTGTATAAACATTATATTTATATTTTGTCTAAAAAAGCATGTATAGGAATGGTATGCTACAAGTAACACTGGAGAATCAGGAAACACTGATGTGCCAAAAGTCAAAGTCAGAAATTATGGATATGCAATGTAATTAGCCCTGATCTGGCATCTTGTCTGCAGTCACTCTCTCACAGACGTGCCATCGCCTCCCTCTGTCTTTTTTACAAATACTTTCATGGTAACTGCTCCGATGTTCCCAGATTTCATGAATTTAAGCATTATGCTAGGCTGGCATCTTGCTCACACCCTTTCACTGTTGAAACTGTTAAATGTAGCTGTCTCTTCTACTCCAATAGCTTCATGTCTCGCATCTCTCGCCTGTGGAACTTTCTCCCCATTTCTTGTTTCTCTGATAGCTATAATCTCCAACTATTCAAACGTAATGTCAATTGACGTCTCCAGATGCCCTGATCTGTCCCCTAATCTTCTCTTCATCCTTTCCTCTATCACTCCTCTTTGCTCTTGTTCCAACTCTCTGTATCCCCTTATGTGCTAGTGGCTTCCCGTCTTGCTTGGGATGAAATACTTTTAAAAAAAGAAAAAAAAAGAAAAAGAAGTTGTTCAGATCTATATATTAGTTGTACTCTGCCATCTGTTGACAGGCTGCATGTGATAAGGTGATGTAAATTAGAGGAGTTTGAATGGGGCATAATCAGGACCAGATTACCCTTTAGGCTCATATATGTTACAACCTGAAGCTTTTTTTAAAGCACTGATTTTCATTTTCTAGATGTTTTAACTTCTAAATAGTTTCATAAATTGAAACAATATCAATATGACAAACTCATATCTATTTAACTTTTCAGGATGAAAAACAAGGAAAAGAATGATTTAGTGTGTGTAATCATGTTTCAAGTAGATAACATGTTTAATTTTATTTCTGAATGTTTAAATAGACATTTTTATAAAGCAATGATTTTAACTTTCCAGATGTTTTAACTTTTAAATAAAAAAAAATGATATCACGATGACAAACTCATATTTGTTTTTATTATAATGCTGTTTGCATTTTTTTTTTACTATGGTTGTGCTGAAATATGTGTTAATTTGGTTTGCAATAGTGGAATTTCTTAAAGAATATTTTTACTGATAAACAGAAGGTAGCTATTGTAGTTTAATTAAAGAACTTGCAATAAGTTTACCTCAAGCTATGTAAACGTTGCTAAAATATATCACAAGTAAATATATTCAAGATGGGTGTGGAGAAGTTAGAGGGTGATTCCATCTGAGGTAGGGATAATTTCATTAGCCTAGGGGCCCCAAAACTTCTGATGTACTGTGTTATGTATATACCATGTACACATGATGGAAGGAATTACTAGCCAATGTGGAAAGTGCAATGATTGACCAAAGGTACTTAATGATCATGAAGAGAGGTGTCTGGCTAGAATTGTTTGTGTTAATAGACAAGTTACACTGTCTCAAATCACATCCAATACAGAAGGTACCATACACATAACCAGTGGGCGAGGTCAGCATTCTTTAAGTACCATGGTATACAGAAGCTGAAAACTCACCAGAATGCTTCATCTCAACACAATAGCTCCTCACCTGGGATTGTGACATTGCAGGAGGACTGGCAACATGTGGTGTGCTACAATGAGTAATAGATCCAACAGTTTCAGGTAGAGACACAGTAAGATACCATACATGTTGGGGAGAGTTCAATAATGGTGTTGGGTGTGTCCACTTAGAATGATTTGGATTTCTTAGTTCACCTTAAATATGTGATTCACTAGTGACTGCTGTATTGCATTGCCCTTCAACAATTTGTTTTCCATTCAACCCTATCCATGGTCCAGAGCAACTATCATCTATTCTTTAGATAAATTTCATCATGTCATCTAGACCTAAATTGCTAAAAATTGGATGCATTATGAAACGTCATCAAATTGTGTGGCCACCATATTAAACTGATATAATTCAATTGAAATATTTATAGGACATTTTAGAGCATCTTTTTCTATACAAGGTCCTTATATTTATATATATCATTGAATTGTAACATAATCAGAGGTTTTATCTAACTTATTTTAGAATCAAGTTCCAATGAATTGTTTGGTTACCTTGCTTTATATACACAAACAGAAGGGATATGGTAAAAGGTCTAATTGCATGCAAGATTCTTAACCTACAAATATCAAAGTGCTTTCTTCAACCATCAAGCAGTGTGGTTCAACATCTCTGACTGCTCTATAATCAATATCACCTCAGGTTCCTTTACATCATACAAAAGACATGTATCCACTTATGACACATCACTCTCTCTCACATATATATATATATATATATATATAATTATATAAAAAACTATATATACAAAAAAAAAAAGGAAGTATTTAAAACTATTGGTGCAAGCCTTGATATTTTAAACTATCTACTGTAAATATTTTAAAACATTTGTGCAGTATTCATAATTAATTTTTATTAAGGGTTGATTTCAGTTTTTTAATATAGAGAGCATGAAGAGTTTTTACTTTATTTTTACAATTTTCATGAAAAAGTATAGATGTATTTTCAATAAGAATTTTCCTAAACCGAAAGATTCTTTGTAGCCAACGGTAAGGCAAATCCTATGTAAAATGATAGTTCATTATTATGCAGGTTCGAATTTTTCAAAGAATGAATATTTCCTATGAAAATTTCTTACATTCAGGCCGATAAATGTTATTTAATACTGTTTATCATAAACAGAGCATTTACTTAAATACTTGTATCTATAAAAAAAAAAAAAACGAATATAAACATAAAAAAAATGTCTTTAATAAATATATATATATATATATATATATATATAAATAAATAGAAAATATATATTTATACCCTCATACATGTGTAAAACCAACTAAAAACAGAATAACTATCCTCCTTACCTTTGGATGATGACAGTGGTGGAGGTGGCCGATTTCCGAATGAAAGCCGTGGTGGAGGTGGAGGCATTTGCCATGGAGGGAAAGCATCACAGGCATCACTCATGTTTGGAGGTGGAGGTGGAGGACCACGCTTTTTCATTGGCGGAGGTGGCCTGAAGTTGGGTGGGGATGGTCGAGGTGACCGGAAGTTGGGTGATGGTGATTTCATTTGTGGTTTTGACTGATCATCTCTGTAACAAAAACAGATATTAAAGTTCAGATAGGTAAAAAATAAAGTTTTTAAAGTTTATATATATATATATATATATATATATATTCTTTTTGACTCCTCACTCTTTCTCCCATTCTGCAGATTTTCATTAGGCTTTCTGACCCTAATGTGCAGTGTTACACAGAATTTTGGACTCACCCAAGAGATAAGTCAATTAAACAATTCATAATTTATTGTTGCCCTAGTTATCAACTGAGCCTTAAAATACATTACATTCTAGTAATTTTAAAGTATTTTGGTATGTGCTATTGATATAAATATATATATATATATAATGTCTTCAGGATGGCAATGTTAGTAATGCAGTCACTTTAATGTACAATGAGACTGATACAAAGATTGCTTACATATACATGTGTATAGTTATCATTTAAGCATTAATATCAATTATTTATGTACAAATAACAAAATACAACTTTTCTAACAAAAGAAAAAAAAATAAAAATAAAAAATAGAATGCCCCAAAATTAAAATTGGTGGCATGCCTAGAAGATTGGAACAACTTGTGACAAACTGAAGCTGTCAAAAGAAAAGAAGAAAAAAAATAAAGAAAAACAGAGAAAAAGCTAAAGAATGAGAGTAAAGTGAAAAAAAAAAAAGAATAAATGAGGAAAAGGACAAATGGCCACGACACCACACATGTACACAGATACGTGCAGATGAGCGCAAATGCACATCTGCTTAGATGGGCATATGGCTACATACCCATGAACACACACAAAAAATGAAAAAGCTTATACCAATGATATATGTATATAAAAAAAAACAAAACAAAGATGATGGAAAGAAAAAGATCCTGAATTAAATTTGCTAGATTGTTTTTTGTTACCCCCCAGAACTTTTATCTACATTTAAAATTTATTGTTTCATATATATATATATATATATATATATATACATACATACAAAGTATAGAATTGGTATAGATGGAATTAAAATTCCAATAACCAAAAACACTATTCTTAAAAGAATACTCAATACAGAGTAGAGCAAATACTATTTATTCAAAAATTATAACATAAACATGTTATAACATCACTACAAAAAGTATCCATTTTGTTTCAACACTTCTGATGTCTTGTCAAGTGATGGTATTGATTGCAGAATAAAGAGTTTTAAAAAGTTCAAAATCAACCAAACTCCAAATTCAAAGGGGAAACATTGTTATGTAAGCTACAATAACTCATCAAAATACAAGTCTATGATAATAAAAAAAAAAAAATTGACAATGAACCTTAGATAAAATTTATTAATGCCTTAATGTTAATTTTAAACTAAATTAGAAATCATTCTAACTGATTAATTTTTAATTTTACCATAAAGTTAAAAAATAAAAATTACAAATTTTAAATTTAACCTTGCATTAAGATTAAAATATTATGAAATTATTTGAAGAAGAACAGAGGAAAATATATATATATATATTTTTTATTTATTTATTGTTTTAATTGAAAAGCTAAATTTTCAAGCCTACAATTATTAATAAGTGAGAACAAACCATCAAGATTTTACATACAAGGGGGAAGATATATAGATAAAAAGAAGGTTTAATTGGTGAAAGTTAAAAAGGCTATAATTGAAAAACAAATATCTGGCTATGAACAAATCAAAGATAAAAGACAATTAAACATATACATACAAATGAACAGACTCAACATATACGCATACACATAAAAAATATAACAGCAAAATTTTCATGCTGAAAAAAATGCAACAAGGAAGAACAAGCATATATACAGAAATGTAATTTACTGGTAAGTGAACAATTTATTTAGATTTACAAGCAAAATACAACCTCTTTTTCTTTGAAAAATACACACACACACATATATATATATATATATGATACCAATGATGTTAATGCTTAAATGGTAAATCCTCATATATACACATTATAAGTTCACTGGGATAGTATTTTGTTTTTTTTAAATGGGTTTGGTGATATCATAAGTACTAATAGTAGGAGTTTAGATTTATAATTAATTTATTCATTGTTAGAATTTATGTGTATATGTCTGTAATTATATGTTCGTGTATATGCACATGTACACATCTATTCACATGCATGCATAAGCATACATATGCATACATATGTACACACAAACATGCAAAGATTGGTATATGTAAACTTAAGTTTGTGCTTTGTTAGTAATAAATAAGTGCATAAATAGTGAGGTTATTTTATCTATTTTATTCATAAAATTTTATGTACCTTTCAGCTGACACATCTTCAGAAAAAATAATATTGTCAGCAAATAAAACTAAGTGGGTGATATGAAAAAATATTTTCTTAGTTAGGCATCTTTACATGGGGCATGGACCAGACTCCACCATTACATCTTGGATTCTGTTGTTATTAATATAAAATGTTCTGCCCTGTGTAGGCTGAGAGAATTAAAACACAAGTTGGCTTTGTTCGAGGAGCTGGTTGCCAATTCAATGTTTAACTAGGATAATTTTTTTTTTTGGGGGGGGGGGGTCCCTCCCCTACTTTTGATATATTTTAACACCATTTGTTGAAAATCATTAAATTTCTGAATTCTTGTTCCCAAAATTATGTTATTCCTGGCATATTTCAAGGATTAAGTGTTGCAATACTAATTGTGTTGCACAAACTTTTCTTTGAGATGAAATCCTGTATTTCTCTGATGTACTCAACTCTGTGAGAGCCCAGTATCAGCTAGTATAGGGCACTGTCTGGAACAATTTATCTCTTCTTGATAAGATTTGGTTTTCTAAATATCTGTCTAAAGGTGCTGTTTTTGTTGGTAATAGAACCAGAGCTAGAAACTTAGCATATCTGAATTTCTTGATTAAAAAGAAATTTGGTTCTTACGCTGCTACGGACAGACATATTATTAATCTATCCAATTATTGTTTGTCTGATTCTAATAAGTTGGTTCTATCCCGGAGTTTGGCTTTTTGTATTCACCCTAGGGAAATTGAGAAAATCAAAGTATTTAGTGATTTTGACAGGCTCTTTTCTTAGTGAAACATCTGCCCAATTCTGAGGAGCAAAAGCTTGTCTGAAAGTCTTAGGTTATAATTTCGTTAACTCGTGTATTGATTTTCTTTGGTCCTCTTGGCAGAAGAACCATTTTCAAATGGTCAAATTGTTTAGAACTAAGACAGATAGTTGATAAAATATTGTGTATTAGAACTAAGACAGATATGTTGATAAAATATTGTGTATTTTAAATAAAAGTTGTAAATTTCAGAAATTAAGTGACATCACTTGTGACGATACCTTGAAAACGGAAGTCTGATTACAGAAGAGATTGTTAGAACTTCATAAGAAAAAGTATTTGTCCAAGGAAATTCACAATATTTGTCTTGTTGGTTGCCAACCTCCTTGGATGTATGGGTTACCAAAAATTCATAAAGTGGGCATTCCACTTAAGCCTATTTTGTCTATGGTGGGTTCTGCCCAACATAGTTTGGCTAAGTGGCTTATTGAGGTTCTTGATCCAGTTTTAATATTCAGTTCAGAGTATTGTGCCTGACTTGTTTCAATTTGCTGCTCATATGCACAAATTGCAGCCTAATCTTGACACAGTGTATTTCATGTTGTTCGATATAACTGGCTTGTTCACAAATGTCCTGCTTGATGAAAGAATTGATATTTGTACAGACTTTTTTGTATTGTGGGCTCGTAAAGCCTCCATCTTTTCCTGAGTTTGTCTGTATTGAGTTCATGGAGATGGCTACTATGCCTGTCTCCTTCAGCTTTAACAATTGTATGTACCAACAGATAGATGGAGTGGTGATGAGTAGTCCATTAGGACCTCTGATGGCTAACATTTTTGTTGGCTTTCATGAGAAACAACTATTTGATAGGATTGCAAAGCCCTACTGTTACTTCTGTTATGTTGATGATACTTTTATGTTGCTTTCTTCTTGTAGTAAAGCAGAGGAGTTCTTTTCATATCTTAATAATCTCCACCCCCTCTTTGAAATATACTATGGAGATTTCAGAGAACAATCAGTTGTCTTTCCTGGATGTGTTGGTAGAAAGAACACCTTTTGGGTTTTCTCACTAGTGTTTACTGGAAACCTCACTTGGGACTCATTTTCTCCCAAAACCAGAAAAATCAATCTTATCAATACCCTTACTCACTGTGCTTTGATGTGGCTTTCTAAGTTCAGGCTTTACACTGAGCTTAAGAAAATCAAATGGCTGTTTTTTTTTTTTTTTGGTGAATGGTTAGCCTGAATGTGTTATTGCAGCTACAATTGAACGTAAAATTGTCAAGTTCAATAGAGTTAAGGTATATCATCCCCCTAAATGTCCTAGCACTCCAAGGATTGGTCCCATGAGGCAAAATATATGTTGATAAAATATCCTCTTCCATTAAATGATGTTTTAATGCTCTATTGGTCTGGAATATTTTTTCTACCAGAAGGGCTTTCCCTAAGGCCGCAAGAACGTCCTGCCTGCCCATCAGCAGAGTTTAGTTGTTTACCAGTATAAATGTCAATGTGAGATGGACTATGTGGGCGAGACTATCCACTGGTCAGAGGTTAGGATCACCCATCATGTTCCAAGCCAAGTTTGTAGATATGAGCCAATAGCATCTGGTTGTTCACAGGCCCATGACTACATTATCGGTGAGCATTTATTGAATTCTGTTGCTTACAGGATGGACTATTCTCTGGATTTCTTCTGCCTTGTACAGGACATGGACCAGACTCCATCTTGACATCTTTGAGCCTGTTGTAATTAATATACAACATTCCGCCCTGGAAAATTTTTTTTGGGGGGGGGTATTGTTTGCTTTTTTGGCTCCATATGTATTTTGATAGGGTTGTATTGTTTGTGTATTTTTTTCTCTTTTAAATGACATTTTGTGGTTATAATATCTTTTAAAGTTTTTTTCTGTGCCACTATGTAAATTTTTTCATCTGTGTTAATGTTATTATTTATGATGGCTTTGTATATTATGTTATTGGTTAAGCATTTATTGTTAACTGGGCAATTTCTTTGTTTATTTAGTTAATTGTGTTATTTTGCTGTATGTTATTGTTGTAATTGATATTAATGATATTTTGTTGAGTATTTTTTTATTGTGCTTATTTATTATTTTCTCCATGTTATTCATGTAGTTGTAACTAATTTTGATTGTATTTTGTTGATAATTTGCAGTTTTTAGGGAAGCGTTTGTCAATTATTTTGAAGAATATCTTCTCTATTTTTGTTTCTATTGTATTTGAATTGCATACTGTGCTGAAAAGTTTACTTATTTTCATTCAATGGACAGTGTTAAAAGCATATACAATGAACAAAATGAGAATGGGAACTCAAAGCGGGACACATTAAGAGAACTTTAGTAACATCAGCAATTGAGATCATCCCAAAGAAAACTAGACAAAGAAAAAGAGAAGGGATGACAGATGAATTTCTCAACATGACGAAAAGGAAACAAAAAAACAATGCCAAGGTAGGATACAGAATATAGGACTCTGCACAAAGAAATTAGAAACAAATGCAAGCAGGCTAAAAAGGAATGACTCAACAAAAAAATGTGCTGAAATAAAAAGAATGGGTATCACAAAGCAAATATGTATTAAAAAAATAAGAAAACTAACAAAAGACATGCTCCTCAATAGGATGTAGAACATCCAAGGATGGAACAATGATATTAGAGAAAGAAAAATATTTCCATTATAAAAGAGATCAAACAGCAATACACATAAATATCAAAGGACCAAAAATATTAAAATCTAAAGTGGAATCATCACTGGTCAAATTGAACAGAAACAAAGCAACAAGAATACATGGAATTGTAATAGAGATGCTGGCAGCTTTAGATGATTTGGCATTGAAAAGATTAGATATAATAAATGAAATCTACAACAGTGGTGATATACCAGAACACCTAGATAGATCTATTTTCATAGCACTGCTTAAGAAGCCAGGTGCAAAAGAATGTGAACCCCATCGGACAATCAGCCTAATAAGCCATATAACAAAACTTATCATTTGAATTCTGATGAATAAAGCATGCAGCTGAATTAGACTGAGAAGAGGACAAAAATAGTAGCAGTTTGTTAAAGTTACTGGAACAAGCAATGCAATATTTATGCTAAGAATGATATCAGAAAGATCAATATAAATGCCAAGGGGTGTATACCTATGTTTTATAGATTATGCAAAACTGTTTTATAAAGAATGTCATAAAGAACTGTTGGAATTGCTAGACTGACCTATTTGAAAAGGATATTACAAAAATCCAAAGTCTATACTTGCAGCAAATTGCTTGCATACAGATAGAAAATGAATTCAGTAAATATACAAAAATAGAAAGGGGTATACCTATGTTTTATAGATTATGCAAAACTGTTTTATAAAGAATGTCATAAAGAACTGTTGGAATTGATAGACTGACCTATTTGAAAAGGATATTACAAAAAATCCAAAGTCTATACTTGCAGCAAATTGCTTGCATACAGATAGAAAAATGAATTCAGTAAATATACAAAAATAGAAAGGGGTGTATACCTATGTTTTATAGATTATGCAAAACTGTTTTATAAAGAATGTCATAAGAACTGTTGGAATTGATAGACTGACCTATTTGAAAAGGATATTACAAAAAATCCAAAGTCTATACTTGCAGCAAATTATTGCATACAGATAGAAAAATAGAATTCAGTAAATATACAAAAATAGAAAGGTGTGTATAAAAGGATATGTTTTTATAGATTATTGCAAAACTGTTTTATAAAAAATGTCATAAATAACTGTTTTAAAAAAATTGTTGGAATTGATAGACTGACCTATTTGAAAAGGATATTACAAAATTCCAGTCTATACTTGCAGCAAATTGCTTGCATACAGATAGAAAATGAATTCAGTAAATATACAAAAATAGAAAGGGGTGTATACCTATGTTTTATAGATTATGCAAAACTGTTTTATAAAGAATGTCATAAAGAACTGTTGGAATTGATAGACTGACCTATTTGAAAAGGATATTACAAAAATCCAAAGTCTATACTTGCAGCAAATTGCTTGCATACAGATAGAAAATGAATTCAGTAAATATACAAAAATAGAAAGGGGTGTAAGACAAGGATATGCCTTCTTGCCAGACTTATTCAACCTAAACAGTGAGGCAATTCTGAGTGAATTAGAAGTCCTATCAGAAATCATTATTAAGTTATGAATTTTGAATGAAGTTTGTTTTAATAATACAAACAAAATTAACATTTTTATTCTGGCTTAAAAAGGTCTTCAGTCTTCACTATTATCAGCTTCACTCCAATCAAAGCATTCACGATGTTAGAATGTATACATTTCTTCTGAGCAGTTAAGTATGTTTGTTTCATGACTTCAAAACTGACCTCAGTTCTGCTGATTTAATGTAATAAATCAATTCAACATTCTAAATGCATATAGGTTAATGAGTAACTAACCAAGTTATAACATACCGTGAATTCAACACACATGACAAGCCATTTAAGCATTGCAAATAGATCAGGATGAATTGCAGGTTATGGAAGTCAATCAAGTTGATCAGTTGAGAAATGGTAGGTTAATCTGATGACTTTTTTTAAAGCTAAACTCTGGTTCTTGCTTCTCTACTAGACAATGTGTTTCAGTAGGATATAAAATTTGAACAAAAGTGGAAAAATGAGACAAAGTAGAAAAGCTTTTTAATGACAATGTGTTTAATGGCATATCAACAACTCTATTGGTTATTTAATGCTAAAATCTAAATATTTTGTACACAATTTTATGGCATCAACTAAATATACTTTGAATGCAATTGTATGCCTTCAACTACAGATAAAATGTACTGTTGGTCATTTTACTATATGTATTGTTTAGTGGCATATCAACACTTCTATGGGTTATTGAATGCTGAAATCTGAATATTTTGTACACAATTTTATGGCATGAACTAAATATACTTTGAATGCAAGTGTATGCAAGTGTATGCCTTCAACTACAGATAAAATGTACTGTTGGACATTTTACTATATGTATTGTTTAGTGGCATATCAACAACTCTATGGGTTATTGAATGCCAAAATCTAAATATTTTGAACATAATTTTATGTTTTCAACTACGGATATTTTGTACATAATTTTAAACTTTCAGAGTAAGGGTATGGTTCTTAGATAAATTTTGTAGTTGTAAAATATATTGTTGGTAATTTTACTATAAAAACGTATTTATATTCTTTTAGTGTTGCATTGATTGTAATTTTGCTATAAAAATGTATTATTGGTCATTTTATTACAAAAATGTACTGTTGATTTTTTTGTTTGGGAGTTCACTATTTGTCCATTGCTGGGACCCTAACAGGAGCTACCACTCTGGATCAGGGTGGATGTAGGAACGACATCAAACGGTTAAGAGGTTGTTCTACGCTCCACAAAACCTCCATTCTCCCAATCAGAAGTCTTGCTGCCGGATGTAGTATATCATCATACCCAAGAAAAATCCAGATCAGAAGAGAATAGTAGGCTATATACACAGTTAGACCAATGTTGGGTTGGAAAGTTTTGAAATATCCATACTTGCTCATTCCAGTTTGTATCTTTCCTAATTACCAAGCACATATCAACTGAATTTCTTGATTAATTGGGGCTTAAATAAAATGGCATCATCAAAATACAGAGAACAATTATTTTTCAGTTGGTTAACATTTTTTTTTTATTTGAGAAATAATAAAATTTTCCTCATTGCATATACTGAGAAACTTTTCTTCATAAATAAAAACATTAGGTGTATACATTATTTGATATTTACCTTGTAGGAGGCAACAAATCTTTTCTTGCAGCTGGATGATCACCAGGTGGAAATCGAGGAAGTAGTGGAGGACCATTTACCATTTCTTTGTAAAAATAAAAAAAGCAATCATACATAGTATTCATAAATAGAAAGGATTAAAATTATGCACATTGAAGAAAGTAGTTCATCTGTTAAATGTATAGGTTTTCAAAAGCAGCAAAAAACTGATTGAACATGTCAAACGTCCTAGACATTGGTTGGACCCAAAGTAATGCCACAAACCATCAGGTATAATATAACCTCATAATTGTCTTAATTTACTCATTTTTAATGTTTTAACTTTGTATTGTAAAATGTTGAATTGGATAAAATTTGTTCAAAGTGTTTATTAAAATGTTACATAAAGAAAAAAAAGCTCAATGTGGCTAGAAAAGTGATTACAAGACTCTAACATCCCAGCCCAATAAAGTCAAAAAGAAATATTTCTAATAACATGATTCAAGTGGACAGATTTCTAGTTGAAGTATTTCAAAAAATCTTTAAAATATCTCAATTTTAAATATGTTTTTCAAAGAATATCTTTTTGTTTCAACTTCATAGCTTTAAGTCTTGACTTTGAATTATTAATTTTTTATTCTTTACTATGTTGAATATATATATATATATATATATATATATATATTTACATACACACACACACAAAATCAAACTGAAAAAAATCTGCCCAAGTGAAAAAAAAAAAAAGTTATAATCGTGTGTTTGTTTGTGACAGCAAGTGAATTGTCAAAGCCAAACAAAAATAAGGAATGAATGACTGTAACAATTGATATCACTGTTTGACACTGATTTTACAAAGAAATTTTGATTCAGGGTTACACTACCATGTATTTATATGGAACAATTACATATAATTAAGCCTTATTTTTAAGAAAGTTATCTAGTAACCCAAACTTGACAAAAAGCAGAAAAAATTGACCATAAATTAAGTTTTATACAAGTTTCAGTTTTTTTTTTTTTCACTCAGGTGTCAAATTTCTGATGAAAATTGGAGATACATATATTTATAATAGATTTTAGTAAGATGATAAATTTCTCCTTTGATCCTAAATTATACATATAGTAAGTCAATTCACCACAGGCACATTCACAATATTGTCCAAAAATTGTCCAACATTTGGATATTTTTTATTAAGATGGTCCTTGATCTAAGCTTTCAGCTCACATGAGCCATCTTCAGAGTGGTTATACAGATATTCTAACAAAGATATTCACCATCGAAGATGATATTTTGTTATGTTGACATAGAAGATTGATATGTGACAATAATGGCCATGGTATAGCAAACACAGAAAAGAACCATATGTCTAGATGCAATGTAATGTGTTGTGACTAGTTTGAAATGTAATTTTGTTGAGTGTAGGTTGCTTTGTTTTAATGTAGATAGTCTCCAATATCTGAAGGTTCTTTTTACTGCGTGTATGTGTGAGTATTTTTGTGTTATAAACTAATATCTGTTTAATAACATGTACATGGGCTGTTTTTTCTGATAAATGCTGTTTAATAGAACTAAGATCAGAAAGATGACAGGTAGGTTGGACAATTTTTGTCTTTATTTTCACCCAAAATTAAAGCAAACATACAAACTTTAGAATGGCTCATGATCAGACATAATAGACATTGTCTAACAGGATGTTTAATGATCTGCTGTCCCAATACACTATATATATATATATATATATATATATATATATATATATATATATATATAAATTAATCACACATAGAATTAATCAAAAGTATCAATGCAAATTATTGGCGACATCCGTCACTAGAAAACATAATATATGCATTAAAATCCTGATTAATTCTATGTGTATTTTAATTTCTTGTATATAAATCATATGCTGCCTAATGTTTTATGTTTATTAAAAAACTATCGATCCATAGTACATAAAAATTCCTAAAAAAAAATTACTATTATGACATTACACTATATTATTGAATATATACTTAGTTCATGACATAAAAACTGAATACAATTGTAAAAAATAGAATACGTGGATTTAACACATCACAAGAAATATTTAAATAAAATTCTCACTTAAAAATTTTGAAAAACTTAGCGTTGCGTCTTTTCGCGTTCGAGATCTTACAAACGTCAATAATAGCAGATATTCAAAAAACATCTTTCGGTCGACATACAGATATATATCGTCTCAAGTTTTTGATTTTATAAGAAAAAAAAAACATGCCTGATGATGGATGGAAGACTATTCGTAAAACTAGCATTTTAACATCAAATAAACTGAAAAACTACAGACAACAAGTTTTTCAATGGATCAAAGCTCGATCAAAAACAGGATTTTAATGGATGAACAGGATTTTAATGCATATATTATGTTTTTCTAATCGGATATCTTCCAATAATTCATTGATACTTCTGATTAATTCTTGTATATATATATATATATATATATATATATATATATAGATATATTTAAAGTTCAAGGAAGATAGAACCCAGTCTGTCCTATTTTTTTCAAACATAGCTGGAGGGACAAGAGGATTTCGACCTTTCCCAAATAAAAAATTAGCATACAAAAAAATGTAATGGATTCAACCTGGAAAACTTTTTCTGCGATTCCTCAAATAAGATTTATAACCATTACTCCATTGTCTGCCTCCTCTGAATTCAAAACCTGCGGAGGAATTGTTTGGGGACCTTGGCACGTTTACACCAGGTATCTATAATTTGTCCCTTCAAAAGTGTGGATGGTCCTCTGCATACTTTCACCACTATAATCTATTGTCTCATGTGCAAAACTATATTTACTAATCAGTTTTATTGAAAACTGATCTGCAATTATTTTGCTTAAAATGGGAGATTAAAAAATTTACATATATATATATATATATATATATATATACTATACAAAACAGTATTTTAAATTGTGTTTCCAAACCTATGTAGATATATACAGTGGAATGTAGTGTTCCCAAACATAGATTTATTATCCAAATTTGAAAATGTTTCAACAAAATTTAAAAGCCACATATGTGATTTTTGTGTTTGTCCAATACACATATCCGTTACAAATGATGGAATTTACAAGTTTTATTGTCATTCTGTTGTCTTGATGATAATCAGCAACTTTAATATGTTGAAATACTTCTAACAAATCAATAACATATTATTTAACACAAATTAAGAAAAAAAGATTACCTGAAGTTTTTGAAAAGAAAGGCAATAATTATGATAATGTTGTCATTAACAATACATGCTTGATCTGATTTGTCAATCTTACTTATTATAAAACGCAGATTGTGTGTGTGTGTGTGTGTGCATGTGTGACTGTAACATTTATATATTGGATCGGATTTCCTACATTTTTCAACCAATTTCAACAAAACTTCACAGGACTATAAAATTACCTTGTGGTGGTTCTAACAGCGCCAAAAAAATCTAAAAAATATAATTGTTTTTGCACAAAAATCAATTTGAAAACACGATTAAGAGACATCATGAAAATGGAAGGGGACAACTCACATCATATTTGTTTGTGTGTGTGTGTTCCTTTAAATATGGGACGAAAGATTTCCTATTTTTTCAAATATAAAACAAAAATTCCTTTTTTTTTTTTTTTTTTTTGGCAGGTAGTGTTTCTTATTCTCTTGCACACCTTTTTTCTTTATTTTTAACATTCAGAATGCTTTAAAAATTCCATTTACAAGACAATTGTTTATAATAAAATTCTATTCAATCTTTGAGACTCATAATGATTGAAAACAATGTTTTTGTTTGAGTTTGGGTTTGACCAATTCGTAAAAAAAAAAAAAAAAAACTAATTAAGACATGTGTGTCCGTCAAACTTAAACAATAATCTAATGATCTCTACTGATTGTATAAATACAAACATTGGATAATTCTTTATCTTTAGGGAAAAATAATGAAATCTAAACATACACAAGTACTCCTAACTAAAAATAATAACTGGAAACTACTTTAGTTTAAATACACATGGTGTCCAATTTTTTTTACTGTATTCATTAAGTAAAAATCATAAATTGTTAAAGGATTATTATTACAGAAAGGTTACTAAATGAATAAGATTTGTTAGATCATAATTAATAAACCCAAATAAAGTTAATATTTTTTGCATTAGAAACAATGAGTGGAAAATATATTCAAATCAGAATTCTAATTATGAATCACCACAAGCAAAATATGCTATTTTTTTTACTGTATTCAATAAGTAAAAATCATAAATTGTAAAACTAAAAGATTACAGAAAGGCTACCTACATTTTTCAACCAATTTCAACAAAATTTCACTTTTTTTTTTTTTTGGGATGTAGTGTTTCTTATTGTCTTGCAAACTTTTTTTTTTTTATTTTTACATTCAGAATGCTTTAAAAATTCCATTTACAAGACAATTGTTTATAATAAAATTCTATTCAATCAAATAGAGACTCATAACAATTGAAAACAATGTTTTTTCTTTGAGTTTGGGTTTGACCAATTTGTTGTAAAAAAAAAAAAATAATTGAGACATGTGTGTCTGTCAACCTTAAACAATAATCTTTGTCAATTTTATTTTTCAGTCTTTATGATGGTCTATACTTGATCTATCTCTTACTGTTATATCCCGGGCAACGCAATTTCTACTGCTAGTAGTGAATAAAAAAATTTCAGTCCAAACAGACGTTAACCAGTACAGGAATAATTTGATCCTTTCACAACACAGCAAAGGTCATTAAAATGAAAAAACATTCTGAAATGGTGTATCCTATACCAAATTTCAACTTTATAGGTGCCAAAATTAGCCCTACAAGTTGGAACATACATGCATTCAATTATATAAATTTGTTTAGAGGTAGTAAAACACCCCTTTCAAGAAGCAAGAGAATAAAACTTTCTAAGTCAGTGATCTTTGGAACCCTGTAAATAATTCCACTGACAACCAGGTAATTATGTTTCCCTCTCCATTAGCTTCATCATATCAATGTTCAATCGTAATTTCCTATGCATAGTAGTTGAAATAGCTTATTGTTTTAGTGAACAAAATTTCAAAGAAGATTTTTTTAATATGCTTCCATTCATTAATTTCATCTATGTCTGTCCATGAAATTGTTGATACTTAAAAATAAATCCATAATAAAAGGTTACTAAATAAGAATAAACAAAATGAGAGAACAATAATATTTATAACAGAAACAACATACAAGATTCATGAAAAGGTGTGTATGTAATAAAATCAACTACTAGTAGTTTATTTCAATAAATGAAAATTGAATCCCAATGGAAAAACCAATGAACCCAAACAAATAGTATATTCTACTGCATTTACACAGAATGGGACATACATTTATAAAGTCCATATATTAAATTAAGCATAATATTGATGATTATTTCGCTCAGGTAGCATCCATTTCAACACAATTCTTTTACAAATCCATATACAATAAAGCAATTAAATCTAGAGAGTTCAGCAAAATTAAATCGAAAATAAGACAAAAAACTTTTACATATTTAAAATAATTATTTACCTGAATGTCCTGAACCTCTTGTTGGCAATGGCCGGATAATGGAACCAGGCATTGGTCTACGCTCCAGGTCTGTTAATCTATGGTAGTGTTAAAATAGAAATATAAAAAATAAATAAATATATATATATATATATATAAAAGTGAACATTGAAATCAACACTCAAGGGGCAACAGGCTGTTTCATGCTAGATGCAATATATATTTTATTTATACAACATATGAATGTAAATAAAATGATATACAAATGTACGCATGTGTGTTTGTATTGATATTGAAAATGTTTTATTTTCAATGTGTTTCTTGTCTGGATTTTTTAAAAAAAAAACATTTTTAAAAGTTTTCATCCAAAATGTAATTATTAAAAGTTATTTCCCTTAGAAAGTATATGTTTCAGTAGTGTAACAATGTACAGTGAGTAAATAGATCGATCCAGGTATTTGCATATTTAACATCTGCATACTGAACCTTACAAGGAATAAAAAAGAAATTCCATTGACTTGGCAAATTTCCAATAATGTTCTTTTGAAAATTATTTAAATCATACAATGCAATAAAAAGTGTCAGAAAATAAAGATGTTTCAATGTCTACATGTAAGACCTTTAAATTTAAGGTGCATCATGCTTGGAGCAGGCTAAAAAAAATTTAATCATGCTTCCAGAGAGAGAGAGACAAACCAATCTTAGAAGTCAGTTGGTCAGCAACACTTGAAAAAAAAAATCAATGTACCTAGTGTTTTTTATTGCAGTTTCTTTCAATGCAATAGGAAAATCATTTCACCCAAAGCAAGGCAATAAAGCCACTAAGATACAAGAGGTTATTGAATGTGAAAGAATATGAGAAAAATAACAACATTAAGAAGAGGGAACAATAAAAGAACAGGAATTAAGAAGACACGAGATTAAATTTTTGAAGATCATCTTGACTGGCAAGCAAGAAACCAAAACAGATGTCAACAAGTATGATAGAAGAAACTGTTAACATAGAACTTACACATCTAGTCATTTCAATTGGAAAATAATGAGACCTCACCACCAATCTAGTAGTATGCTCAAATTCATAGGGTCCAGTTGATAAAGAGCAGAAAGTTCTTCCGAACAATTACCATGAAAGTATTTATAGAAAAGGCACAGAGAAGCTATATTACAGCAATGGGAAAGTGACTGATTCCAAGATGCCAGCTCAAGACTGATAACAATAAATAAATTTTAATTTGCATGTTGGGTAATTATTTTATTTCTTATGGATATTCAGAAAAAAATTGCTTCATCAGTTATGTTTTTCCACACTTTGACACGTATAAAGAATTGGATAATATAAATACCTAATATAGGATCTAAGATATAATGAAAAAAAGATATGTGCATTGTTTTTCCATTCATTGAGTATCTTGCAAATGATGAGATGGAAGAAATGAATGTCACTATAAATTGTAGCTGTTTTATTTCTATCACTTCATTTCTATAAGCATAATGCTATAAATTGTAGTGAACATAATTAGAAAACAGTAAAATTATTTCTACAGATGTTGTGCCATCAATATAAATTCAGATATTGTCTCAGTTGTAATTATTTCAAAATAATAATTAACATTAATTACCTCACTCACTTAAATGATTCAGAATAATAAATGTTCTAAGCATAAAGATAATATGACTAATGATATGAATAAACTTTTCTTTAAGAAGGATCAGTTATATGATTTATTTTGAGATCTTTCATTAGGTGGTGGCCATTCTATCATTAGGGATCTCAGTTTGGGTTCATTGCCAAAGAAAATGCTTCAATGGAAATGGTGGCGGTATTGAAAATCTTGAATTTTAATTAAGGTATTTTTCCAATTTTTATACTTATGCTATTAAGGTTTATAAACCCTTGATTTCTGATGCATGTTTATTTTATTTTTATGTTTACTCTGTTAAGATGTATAAACCCTTGACTTTTGGTCCCTGTCTTACTATGTCCTTACTTGTGTTTGGTGGTGGAGGACATGTTTTGTTTTTTTTTTTTATGTGGTGGAATGTGTCCATCTTCAGTAATATCTCCCCTTGCTTCTTTTTCATTCATTCTATTTATTTGATTTTTTTCCCTTTTTTTGTGGTCAATCTAGGGGTAACTTTTCATAAACAAACAAATTGTAAATAAATTGTGACAGTCTTGAATATAGAATATCCATACAGAGTCTAGCACCAGAAATCTTCACAATGTAAGCAGGCAAACCTTGTTCACCATACTGATGTCTTCCAGTATTTCACTATTGTCATTTACTTCATTAGAGTTGATGTCCATCAGTCTTAAATTGTTTTTTCATTGGATGAAACACATCAACAACAACTACAGTTTTCCTATTGTCATTTATATTTATAAAAATTGTTTTTTTAATTAAACAAATTATATAATATAAACATATATATAAAAAAAAATCAAATCAATTTCCATGTCTGATGATGTCTGTATGAACAGATGAAAGTACTAGCAAAAAAAGACCTTATACAAGTTGAATTTATTAAAAACAGGGATCATAACATTCATCTAGAGGTTCGTGAGTAATTTTAATAAATTTGTTTGCGTAGATGTATTCCCGCCTTTTATATCATTAACTTCACTAATCTGTTTTTTGTATGAATGATTCATGTAATATAAATTGAACTGCAAAACATATTTGATTTAAAAAGAACTGATCCGACGTGCAACTGTCGGAATAATAGCTCCTCCTTTTTTTATTATTAATATTCTTTCTTTTTTCTTTTTCTCCTTTTTATCCCAGTATATCTGTCTGTCTTGATCGATACCATTCCTAATAAACTTTCAGTCTGAAGAGATGAATATAACAATATTCATTAAATAAATTATAACCAATATAGATTTTTAAGGTGTTTTCTTAATTTAATATTTTATATATATTTTAATATACATGTACAGATTTTATTTATGTTTGTATATATGTATGTATAAATGTTTTTTTTTTGTGTGTGTGTGTGTGTGTGTGTGTATATATATATATATATATATATATACACAATAAAAAATGACATATATATATATATATATATATATATATATATATATATATATAGAGTGAATGAAATATATATATATATATATAGCATAATGTGAAGCCAAGTATTTCTGAAGAAAGATTGAGGTCAATCTGAAATATCAAATATATATAAATACTTTCATAAAAACATTATTTTTTTAATTTGCAACTTATATATATATATATATATACACACACACACACTCCCCAAACACCCGCATGCATGCATGCAAACATGTATATTAAAATATATACAATACATATGCATATAAACATTTACATTGTAGCAAAGTCACAAGTCATCATGACTGAGAGTGTGAAATAGCCTAAGGTCTGATCAACATAGCTGCATTATAAATCACAAATGGGTTTTGTGGATGTTAAATACAAATGTACCTAAGTGTACTTCTGCAACTGGGGGTTAGCTAGTTACCCTAGTACAGTGGTTCCCAAACTTTTTCTCTAGGATGCATTTTTGGAATGAAAATTTGTTCACACCTCACCAAATTTTATGTGATAAAAAGTATATTTAAAAATAAAAAAAAACAGAGAAACTGTTAAAGGGAGATAACAGCAGAACATTATCATTGATAACTCTCTCCTCCAATTTGTGGACCCTAATTACGATATTCTTAATACTTGATATAATGGAAAAATATCAAAATGATAAAATCTGTCAATAATTATTTATAACTATTTATAATTGGACTCATGCATGCAATTATAAGTAATCCATAATAATATATTGAATTTTGAAATCACATTTATTTTTGGAAGATGAATTTTTTGAAACTGTTTCTAAATCCTTGATTATCTTTCAATCATTCCATCTCACCTGTTATTTTCTTTAATCACATTTATGTGGCACACTGCACTGTTTGGGAACCACTGCAGAAGATGGGCATATACAGAAGACAAGTTGCCAGCCATCATTATTATGACTGCATAAATTAATAATAATAAAAAAAAAGAAAGAAAGAAGAAAACTTGCATCTTATTTAACTTACTTTTGTCTCAATATGGTACATTCCATCCGTGCCTCCTTTAGTTCTCTTTCAGCTGCTCTTGTTGCCAACTACCAACAAATAGAAAGAAAAGAAACTAACAAAAAGTTCAGGAAAGTAAGAAACCCCAAAAAATATATCATGAAAAATAGAATCTCCACTTTTTGTAATTTAAAATAAATAAATAAAAAGTAACTTACCCAGTTTTCATGGGCTTTTTTCTCATTTGCTGCAATCTGAAAAGAAGAAAATAAAACATAATTCTCTTAGAAAAGACATGGCTACATTCTACCTTGCTAAATAACAAAAGTTTTGTCACTTGATGTCATAGATTTTGACAATGTAACTAAACTAGAAAAGTGATTTTACTTTGCTACTGTATGGTTGATCTTGTTTAGCGACATATCAACACCTCTATGGGTTATTTAAAGATTTTGAACACAATTGTATGCCTTCAATTAAATATATTTTGATGCAATTGTATGCCTTCAATTAAATGTATTTTGACGCAATTGTATGCCTTCAATTAAATGTATTTTGACGCAATTGTATGCCTTCAATTAAATATATTTTGACGCAATTGTATGCCTTTAATTAAATATGTTTTGACGTAATTGTTTGCCTTCAATTAAATATATTTTGACGTAATTGTTTGCCTTCAACTACAGATAAAATGAATTGTTGGTAATTTTACTATAAATAGGAATTGTTGGTAAATTTTTATATAATATTGTCTTGCTGGTATTTTTATACTTACATAATGTTTTGTTTGGAGGTTAACTATTTGCCCATAGCTGGGACCCTAACAGGTACTACCACCTCAGGTCAGGGTAGATCTGGGAACACCAGTAATTAAAATGTGGTACCACACTCCTCAAAACCCCCAATCAGAGGCCTTACTGATGGATAGAGTTTATCTTGCTGGTACTATGAAACCTAGTACTATTTGTCACATTACATTGAGAAAGACAAAGGACACCATTTATGATTTTGTTATAAAAGACCCTGCATGGAACTGTAAGTTGTATGCTTTTAAATACAAGACAGAAATAATACATGTGTGTGTATTATTATTGCATTGACATAATACCTGCCACTTATTCACACTGATCAATTGGAAATATACATATTTGTTAGGGATCCTTTTTCAGAATGGATTTAGCTGCTACAGTAACGCTGGATAATACCTGCCACTTATTCACTGATCAATTGGAAATATACATATTTGTTAGGGATCCTTTTTCAGAATGGATTTAGCTGCTACAGTAACGCTGGATAATACCTGCCACTTATTCACACTGATCAATTGGAAATATACATATTTGTTAGGGATCATTTTTCAGAATGGATTTAGCTGCTACAGTAACGCTGGATTCATCAGGCTTGAACCAGGGATCAACAAACTCGTGTCAAGTACTATTAACTGTTATAATGTTTGGATGAGATTTTACAAGATAGAGTAAGCATTCATGATCGGGCTAACAAAGTAATTAACAATTGCTAAGAGAGTTATCACCTAATCCTCACATTCAAACAAAGGTTTTGGTGAATCTCCTACACTTAACGTTTATAAAATTATACCCAAAGCTCAGAGCAGTACAAAAGGGTGGATAATGCAATATGTTTTATACATGCTGACCCTAAACTAATAATGGTTATGCTTCACTGATCAACCTTATTTCTATAATTTTCCAAAAGATTGCAACAATAATGTTTATAGACATGTTCTGTTAAATTCACATACTTACACACATACATGTATACATACACACATACATGTATACATACACAACTAATACAAAAGTAACCATATTTCTTATATTCTTTTTTACCTGAGCTCGAAAATCACGTTCAGCTTTATTGATCTCTTGTTTTAAATCTTCAATTTGGGATCTGAAAATATTTTTTAAAAAAATCAATCATTAAATTATATTAGTCAATATTTACATAATTTGATTGAAAAATTGTATTAAAATTTTTTTAATCATAAATAACAATAAAAATATAAAAAATGAAATGCTTAATTGATCGGCTATAACTTGATCTATAACCAAGATTGATCATTAAAGTTTGTAATTATACTAATCACCAACAAAGCTTAAATAAAAGTAATCAGTAATTTAATCAATCATTATAAGAATAGAATTATCTTGAATAACTTGATTGACAATCATCAGTGATTTATAAAAGAATTGGAAAATCAAGTTTTAATTAAAAATCAATTTTTTGATTTTCAATCCTGACTGTTATTTGGTTTGTTAATTAGTTAATAAATAATGATTAATTGAATAATATGATTCATTATTCAGTCATCAAAAATGATAGATTAGTTTTGCAGATATTAAGAAGAAACTGATTGAGCACTTTTATAAAAAAAAAGCATTTATATTACAATAAAGTTTTTCAATGCATCTTATACAGTGATAAACATACAGATTGAAGATTATACAGAGAAAATTTAAAAACAAAATTAAGGTATTAATTATATGTCAGATTGTGTATATACATATATATATATCCATATGAAATGAGAAAAAAATCAAATATAAATTCCAACATTCGTAACATTAATTCAAAAGAGGGCTCAATACAAAAGTAGAGCAATATTCTTTATTTTGGGATATTACATTGAAAAACATGTGAATAACACTACATAAAATAATCATAGAAATCAATGTGTATTAACATTCCATCAAGCATTAGATATAAATGCCTGGTTAGTAGACAATCTCAAACAATTGTCTACTAACCAATCATTTTCACTAAAATCCGGATGAATGTTTAGTACTACATTGAAACATGATAGCAACATGTCACATTATTCACATTTTTTTTTTTTTAAATTCTAAAAAATGGTCAAATATATATATATATATATATATATATATATATATATATATATATATATATATTATTTTAAAAATGCTCAACCCGTTGGGGAGAAAAAAATATATGTGAAAAATGTGTATATAAATAAAATAAATATATATATAATTATTTATATGTAATCATCAAGATATTCATTTAAAAATTTTCACTACATTAAATCTTTGAATTTCAACATTAATAATCATATTATGTATAGACACAACACCACTTTCATTATTTATATCATATCCGAAACTGCCCACATATGTATATATTTATGAACAAAAAACAGATGACCAAGTATGTATATGTGTCTGCATACATCGATGTTTTAGAGTTGTAAAAAATGACAAAATGACAAAAGTTTCCCCACCAAGTCCATAATAACATATATACATGCAATATACATAAACCCAAAATTTTTAAAATTAATCAGTTTTTCTGTATCGCTAAAATTTGTGAAAAAAGAATCCAAAAAACAAACTCACATCTATCCAACCAAATATGTTAGCTCTATCTCTGATATTGAGCACTTTCAATAAGTACAAAGCATATAATATATAAATAATTATATTTATATATACACACTTTTAACATATATATATATATATTAAATTGCATATATTTTAGCAACATGTTTTCACTGAGACATGTTTCATTGAATAATTTAGACAAGTTTTATCTACTTATTTTCAGGTGGATCTTTTAATATTCACAAACAGGCATTTTGGTATCATTATTAAAGGAAGAGAGAAAATTACCATGTTGATACATATGTATCAACACAGAAAATAAGTAAACAAAACATATATATATATATATATATATATGTATTTATGTATGTTTCATTAAAATGACAGACAAGGTACTATGGTTTTTATTTAATTTTTTTTATGTTCAACAAGAGTTTTCTTTTCTGGACAAAGAATGTGTAAAATTTGTTCAAGTGTTTTATAGTTCCCCATTTATTCTGTTATATACTTTAGCCATTATCAAGGATGATTCAGTTTTTCATCTGAATTGAGTGTGTGCATTATGTGTATGTTTTAGTATGTTATATAAGTTTGACCTTATCACTAAGACAACTGATATTGAAATTCTACACTAGTCACTATCCCAACTTGCTGCCTGTGGAGATATAGCAGTCCACCCAAACCTGACAGACCTCCTTGTTATAAAATAAAATAAGACATATCTCGGCTGATTTGCAGGCAAATAAACTAACATACTCAAGAGCAAGAGTTTTCAGGATGTAAACTTCAAGGCCCCATCACAAAATGACCATTATCATCGTTTGTATATATATGCCTTTAACTTTAAAACCATATTTTTTAAATAAAATAATATTTTAAAGTGTTTCTATTTTTTTGACCAATAAAATGCTTCCCTCCTAATTATACTATTTAAATTTTTCGAGCCTGTTAAGCCATAAAAAAAAACGCCAAAAAAAGGGTCACTACGAAGAAGTACAACAGCAGTCAACAGGAGGCCAGGGAAGAGACCTGTCACGGTCAGGCTAAGTTGTTGGCAGCAGCCAGCAGGTGGAGCGCCACGCCAACCAGTGAGAACTACTATGAGAGATCAACCCAGATCGGAATTCGGGCTTATGAACTATACCACAAGGTAGCTGTCCCAAACCCACATGTTCCTGTTGAAATAAATCACGTAAATCTATTTCTGCTGTTGTCGTTTTCTTTCTTGCAACCATACGAATTGTCTTGAACATCCTCAAAGCCAAAGGCTTGAAGAACTGATCACCTGCTCTTAATACCACAAAACCTATGTTTTAATATTTCTCAAGTAAAAAAACATTTTCATTCGTCTTGTAAAAAATGACATTAATCATCAGATGAGCTGATAAAGTTAATACATACATAATTTTGAATGAAAATTTTCATGTTTTTTAAAAAAATTACAAAACATTGTCAATGACCAACTAAATTCATATAAAAAAAGAAATCCCACTGATCCATTTAAAAGGTCCGTTAATAAAATAATAACACCTCACAACGTGGTAGTCGGTTCCCTGAAAATTCAAAAAAATCATTGGAGACCATCAACTTGGATATTTATATGAAAATATAAAAACCCATAAACCCGGATACTCACTACAACCAAACATCTCACAGGTCCCAACACCTATCTAAGAGCTATCAAAATTCTTGAACGACATCATCACTCCAAACCTACCTACCAATTACAGGATCAAATCCACCCACGAATTTCTCCAAATTTTAAAAACTACTAAACCAAACCAAGGTATAATAGCATCACTTGACATCAAAAACTTATTTACAAACGTCCCCATTGATCAAACCATTGACATTATTCTCAATTCTGCATATACTAATAATTCTATCCCTCTGCCATCCATCAAACCATCTATATTAAAAAAATTACTACATGAATCCTGTTCACATATTGTTTATAGAAAAAAAGTCATGTATATGAGATAAACACTCAGTTGTGGAGCAAGCTAAGTGAATAATAATCCAACCTTTAGAAAGAGAGCTATTTATGGTGCCATGGAGCATCTCATTGTGCTAAAGTGGGATAGTCCATTGCTTGGGCTGTGATTGGCTGTTGGTACCTGAGTGGAGGTATTTCTATATAAATACCATAAAAAATAACTATCATTTTTAGTTTGCAGGGTTTGTAAAAATTTCAACCTGCTTTATTTTTTATACCAATACATTAGCTAGCTGGGACCCCATTTTTTATAAAATTTTCAAAAACCTGTTTATTGTATTGTTATTCTACAGCATGCACAACCAAAGTTCCATTCTATGACCATAATGGCAACATTTACACCCAAACTAATGGTGTTAGTATGGGAAATCCACTCAGTCCATGCTTTTTCCAACTATTACATGTCCCATGTAGAAAATACGATATATTTAATACAGGTCTGTAAATCTAAAATATATGTTAACTACGTTTTATTTTCGATATTTTTTTTTTAGCAAATAACATTAAAGAAATAGGGACTCTTAAGACCACATTTGAGAAAAACTCAGTCCTTAATATTTACCTATGAATTTAGTCAAAAAAATCAAACTCCCATTTTGTATGTTCTCATAGAATATATATATACTATTTTTAAAAAATATAAACCACCTATAACTTTAAAACCAAGTGCCCACTTAGGTACAAAATAACAGTAATGAAAAACTTCCTAAAAAGATCACACCAGAATTCATCCTCTCAATTACTCTTCCTCAAAGAATTTAATAATGTAAAACAAACACTAACCAACAATGGCGTCCTTAACCACCTTATAGACCACCAAATTAGAATATTTCTCCCCAAAGCACATAATAACAATAGTCAACACACAGTCAAAGATTAGATAAACATTTATTACAAAAACCAAATGCACGTTAACTACAAACAAGATGAATCTTCACTAAGACATATTATAAAGAAATACACTACCCCAATTGACCCGAATAAAAAAAAAATCAAATTATCTATTATAAAAATTTAAGACAGCTAACCTTATCCTCAAAAATAACACACCAGTTAAGTCAAAATTACAAAGAATGAACATTATCTATAAGTTCAAATGCCCATTAAGGAACTGTGTTCCTGATCAAACCTAATTACCTAAGTAATTACATCGGTTAGACAACTACATGCTTATCCAGACTTCTTACATTACACCTATGTGATCATAGCTCCATTAGAACCCATTTAAAACACACACATAAACTTACCAGACTCCATTAGGAACATACTAGTAGAAAACACAAATATAATAACTTCATTCTTCTGTAAAAAAAGACTAAAGATAATGGAAGCTTTAAAAAAGAAAAAGCCAACTCTTAACAATATTAACTATGAACAAGGCCACAATCTGCTAACTGTATTTGGAAATTAAAAACATCCCTACCACACACTAAAACATAAACATAATGCACACACTCAATTAAGCTGAAAAATTGAATCATCCTTGATAATGGCTAAAGGTATAGCTGGAAGCGCTTGGAACTATAAAACATTTGGACAGTTTTTACACACTCTTTGTCCAGAAAAGTAATCTCTTGTTCGAACACAAGAAAAATTAAATAAAAAGCTTAACCATAGTAACTTGTCTGTTGTTTTTAATGAAACATGCATAAACGAAGGATTGCTGCCTAAATATACAACTATATATATATATATATATATATATACACACACACACACACACATACATACATACTACATATGTACTGTAATCCTGTGTGTACAAGGACAACCTTACACTCTCATATCTCAGATGCCCATGAGCACAAGAAAATGACCTGGATTACTCACAAATAGTCCTTTTGAAGACTGCACAAATAATCTCAAAAATATATCTGAGATAATCACAAAAAATTTAAAACCAAATTTGTTTGGTTTTTAAATTTTTTGTGATTAAAGTTAATATTTATTCAGTTTTATTTTGATTTATTTATTCAGTGTGTATTGGCAAGTCAGTCATCTTATACCTCAAGAGGTGTTATCATGTTCTTGTAATGTTTATGAATCACAAAAGAAAACAAAATATCCTATTTTTAAAAATTTTTTTCTCTTCCCTTTTCACAAGTTTTGATCATTTTCATTGCTCTAAAATCAGATTTGTTTTATACACAAAAACTATTTTTTTCTGAAATCTATCTGCTTTTTTAACTACATCTGATACTTCCTAGCAATCTATACACAAAAGATATTATGATATATATATGTGTGTGTGTGTGTATAAAAAGACAAAAAGGATATATATATATATATATATATATATATATATATATATATATACACACACACAGTACTTTCCATCTCTTTCTGAAAAAAAAAGAAAAGAAAGAAAACAAAATCAGTAATGGATAACTTCACATAGTTTTTACCTTACCAGTTGCACCCCTGATGGTCATCTTAGAAAGAGATGGAAAATACTTGGCAAATAAAAGTAATTCTCACTGTTACAGTACATTTCTTGCCTCATTTAATTGTAATATATGGAAAATATTCATGAATACGAAAGGATTATGATCCAAATAAGCAGACATAATGTTTGTAACTTATTCAATCACACATACCTAAAAAAGAATTTGCTGCCTAAATACAAATTATATATATATATATAAGAAATGCTTAATATCATAAACAAATAAACGCTTTTATTTTTCACATTTACTTACTTATATGATTCTAATTCACTCTCAATGCTTTTTGCTTTTTCTTCTGCTGTTCCTAATTTGTTGATGTTTTGCTTCTTCAGTATTTCATGTTCTCCAAGTTCCCTGTCATAGAAGCAAATAATTAACATGCATATACGCACATTTGAAGATATACATTACATCTGACAGAATGATTAAATGAAGAACAAATATGAAAACTTTTTAAAACGTTTCAATATTTCACTTCTGATGAAGTCAAAGAAATAGAAAAAATGTTAAATTTATTAAGATTTTCTGACTTGCTTCTCAGTTAATTATACATATGTATAATAGAAATCAATAAAAATTACCAAAATATATAAGAATTACTATGATTTGATCTGCTGTAAGAATATTTAGGAAAGTGCTCAATAGATAACTCAAGCAACAACAGTCAATAAATAAATTTTCAGTCATCTTGCTTAGTTATCTCAAAATTATAAGTTATTAAATTACTTTAATAAAGTACTTAACATTTATTAATTGACTATATATATATATATATATATATATTTACTGAATAAAGATAGAATGAAAACTTAGCTGACACATTTCGTCCTCTGATAGAATTTATCAAGGCAAATGCAAGGATTTTCTTTTGTAACAAGTATTTATATACAAAACCAAAGATGTTATTAATTTTTCAAAATTTTTAAATTTAAGAAAGATCATAAATATTCATCAGGTTAGCCGAAAAGTCTAGTCAAGCTATGGAGGACATCAAGTGGCACAATTCAATGTCTAATAAATGTAGGTGAGTAAATGATGTTATTGAATTTTTTTTTATGTGTTATATATTTTAAATAAGAAGAGGTTATAAATTTAACTGTTTTCTTTTAATATTTAACATTCTTATAGTCATCTATGCATTCTAGTGTTGCTATCAAATCTTATCAAAATATAAATCTAGGCCCCAAATTTTTTCAAATATCTCCATTCATAAAAGAATTACCACATTCCTAAGCCAACATACATGACTATAATTTGCATGTAAGGGAATATAACAAACCCAACTGGAATTGGAACTCAGCTTTCCAATTTCAAGCTGTTACCCATTGCATCAATTGCACATCCAAGCTTATAGCACCTGGTATTCCCAAGCAGTCACCTATCTAGGTGCTGTCCTGGCTCAATGTTGCTTAACTTCAGTGAACATACGAGAACTGGTGTTTGAACATGATATGTCCATAAGCCTCAGTTGATCTGCCTATATTTTTTGAGATGAGGTATTATAGATGAGATGAGGTCCTTGGGGATAAAGGACACATGGGTTAATGGCTAAAAAATGTTGAGTAATTCAGTGGCCGAGACATTGTGAGTATGACAATAATAAAGATGAGGACAACAGTCAGAACAATGTAAATAGTCTCAGCTGATATAAACACAGGGATGATTGGTTCTTGTCATATTTTATGACATTTATTTAGTTTCCAGACTAAAATGGCAAAGTAACATTAACGTACCTCTGGAACTGCATTTCCTTTTCCTTGAAGTATGTTGTCAAGACATTCAGCTTAGTTTGTGCCTCATTATTTTGTCGAATTGCTTTAGTCTTGTCGGCTTGTAATGTCTCCACATCATGCTTCAGGGCTTCAATTTGGTCTGATAAAAAGAATCAAGGAACAAATGAATAAAATTCATAAATGAAAAACAAAACAAAATCCTCTCCCCACATAAAAAAAAACAAAAAAAACAACAGTAATCTGGATAAAACGACATTAATCAATGTTCCAGTAAATTTAATTAAAAACCAATTTTGCATAAATTTAAAATGGTAAATAATTAGTATATTCTTAAATATATAGAACATTTTAATAGAAGATAGGTTTGCCTATTGTCCATTTCATGCAGTAGAGGTTTATCCCTTGTTTCCTGTTTAAGATTAGGTTTACAGTTCCTTCTAAATGCATCACTTTACTTCTAACGTCTCCATCAATTTTTAAATTTCTAACAATTAGAAACATTCATAAAAGTAGATTAGTTTAGAAATATATCTGATAATGCATTTCACCATCAGATCCGAAAAGCATTTTATTTATCTCTCTTTTTGGATCTGATGAAGCCTTATGTCAGTATTCTTCAGGCCTAGACTGTCTTGGAATCAGAGGTTTTGAATTTAGTTCAGATAGCAGTCGGAGAGAACTCCTTTAGATAAGGAGCCTGGTTTTGTGACAAGGGGAGAGCGTGACATAACTCTCTAAGGAGAGATGGGCCAGGATGGGAATTTATCACTCATGAGGGAGGTTTTAGTTGAAAATTTGTGTTGAAATTGATATCCATCCACATCTTCATCACACAGCCTAATGGGAAACCAATCCAAGATCATTCACGATTGTTAATAATGTTATCAGGAGTAATGGCATGAGGGGATTAACTCCTTACTAATGAGGGATAGGTACAAACAAGTAAGTCCTGACCATCATCGAGTGACTGTTAGCAAAATTAGAAAAAAAAAAAAAATGGTGCAAAGGTGGTCAGATTCTTTGGAATTGATCCTTCACCTGGTAAGGAAAGACACAAGTGACAAGTGTCACTAGGCTGTTACCCAGTGACTATTTGGATCAAACAAAAAAATATTTTTATGGACCTAGAACATCAGAATACCAAATCAATGTGGCCAGTTTGAGAATATAAAACATGAAATGAATAAAGGTTAAAATTGTGAAATTAGGTGGGCAAATAATTTAGATTTTGTTAGTGACACAGTGGATCATATATGCAAAGCAGAGAGAAAAATGAGAAAGGAATAAGAACTAATAGAAGACCAAAACATGAAGAAATGTATTCTGAGATATCTGATAGTTAATCTGAAAGGGAAAACTTTCAATATATCCTTTCTAGTTGCATATGCACCAACATCACAATGTATGGAGGAAAAAAATGGAAAAATTTAGCTGCACACTGGAAAACAACAAGACTCAATGCAAATTGCAGGAAATTACAATTGCCATGGGAGATCTGAATGCCAAAGTAGACAAGGAGAGAGAGAGCTATAGAAATATTTGGCAAATCTGTACTAGGAATTAACACAAATAAGGCAAAGCAACAGTAATATGGCAAAAAATTCACAAACTAAGAATTGGTATCAATACACAAAAGCAAATTCAGACAAGTAAACATAGCGTTCTGAGTTAGATGAAACTAACAAGTGGCATATTTTACTGGCTAGAAAGAAAACCCAGCATACATTTGTGTGCTTCTGCCTATAAATTTGGGAGGGGAAAGTATTTTGAAATCATTCCCAGCAGGATTGAACACTGAATTCAAATATGAGTTGGTGGATTGGGCTCCCTCAGGCTATCTTGCCCCAGGAAACACCACTGTTGCTGTGGCTGCAGTACATGTGTTGTCCCTATGACCCTAATGGGTTACAGGATTTATGATCAAGATAAAATTGATTCATAAATTTTACTTACACAATTCCATTATAAAAAGCAGGTGATCACATTTTCTATTATAAGTCTATGATAAACTGATTAATTTAGCGCACATTTTTATGTCCTTGTGTTAAACTTACCTGGAAATATGTTGAACTATTTTTACTTAAATTACAAAAATGTATTTTATATCAAGAGAATCATTTGTGGTTGAGTATATTTATGACATCTGTATTGATTGGTTAATTGCTGACCAATGAAGAATTATTTGTAAATATGAAGACTGCTTTTTTTTATTATTTATTTTTATTAGTAATTTAGATTTCAAACCTTGAAGATGTCTTCTTGTTTTTTCTTAATTAATCAATGGTTACATAAACAGATGTTGAGATAATGGATAATATGGAGAGAAAAAAAGACATTTCTATTCAAGTTTTCATCATTAATCTTGTTAAAGAAATGGCAGCTATCTGTCTGCTTCATTTCTTTTTGGTCTTTGCTTCTTTTGTTTTTCAATATATTAACCTTTAGCACTCTGCATTATTAATATTACCTCCCTTCCCACTGTATTCTTTTTCCAGACCTCTCAGTTGCAGTAACCTTATTGTTAATTTCAGTCAAAGGTGTTTTCTGTTGCTATAGAAGGATATGACAACACAACTATAAAATTCAAACACATTATTGTTCAGGGATCAAATTTTTGTACAGAAAATGAAGTCACATACATTGATAAAAGTTAATAGACTTAAAAAAAAAAAAAAAAAAAAAAAAAAAAAAAAGAAAAAAAAAAGCCTTTTGCTAACATATCAAGGCCAATGATCAGTCATGTTACAGGCTAAGTACAATTTTTGATTTTACATATGAATTTTTCACAGTGATAAAAAAAACAAAAAAAATATGAAAGTGGACCTGTTGTTAGATAATATAAATTAAAGATGATGAGACAAAGTGGAAAATTTTTAGTCAAAGATGTATTTCACCAGAGAAAAAGCTTATGTTCTCCTTAGTATCATCAGTTCAATTAAAGGTAGAAAATGACAAAACATTGATAAAATATAAATTCTAATCTTAAATTTTAAAAATACAGTGTGACCCGGATATAAGAGAAACCCGGATATAAGAGAGATTTTCTCTGGTCCCAAATTAGCCATACTTACCTAAACAAAATAGACCAAACCCGGATATAAGAGAAAACACGATATAAGAGAGATTTTCTCTGGTCCCAAATTGTTCCCATACTTACCTAAACAAAATAGACCAAACCCGGATATAAGAGAAACACGGATATAAGAGATTTTCTCTGGTCCCAAATTAGCCATACTTACCTAAACAAAATAGACCAAACCCGGATATAAGAGAAACACGGATATAAGAGAGATTTTCTCTGGTCCCAAATTAGCCATACTTACCTAAACAAAATAGACCAAACCCGGATATAAGAGAAACACGGATATAAGAGAGATTTTCTCTGGTCCCAAATTAGCCATACTTACCTAAACAAAATAGACCAAACCCGGATATAAGAGAAACTCGGATATAAGAGACTTCTTCTCCGGTCCCGACAACTCTCTTATATCCGGGTTACACTGTACTCCAATTTGTGATCTAAGGGAAACAATCATGTCAAAATATTGTAACTAAAAAAATTATTTATATACCTTCCAATTCCATACGACATTCAACTTCAATTTGTCGTGATTGCTGTAAAGCATTTTTTTCCTCTTCAGCGGCCGTCCACATTGCTTTCACCTGGACCAATAGTAAAGTAAAACAAAATTTATTACAATTATATATATATATATATATATATATATATATATATATATATTCAAGCATGTTTGGTTGAATAATCTGGACATATGTCTATTAATTTTTATTTTAATCATCTCAAATTGTCTGATCAACTTAATGTCGATATTAAATTCATCAAGGTATGTGCCATAGTTTTTTTTTTCATTTTTATTTTCCCAAGTACTTTCAATCTCATCCAAGATCATCATCAATAATGTAACTGACAGCTGTGATTTTTTTGCAAATACACATGAAACATGGTATTATTTTATACATGCATAAATGTGCTCTGTTATAATTTAAAATTAACAGTTAAAGCTGACGCTCATTTTCATGTTTTGATCTAAGGGAGGTAATTTGTAGAGTTATAATTTTAGATTTAATAAACCATGCAAAAAAACATTGGTATGATAAACATTTTAAAACATTAATTAACCTTATTTAGTGTTGGTTGTTTACTTCTTCAAGAATTTGAAATTTTTATTTTCATGGTGGAGTATACTTGTGTTATTAATTAGTATTTTTCTGAATTGCTAGGTGGACAGGAATGTGAATTGGCGACAATATCTATAAAATTTGGTACGTTTTACACAAACAAAAACAATTCAAAATTCTTTCAAAAATATTTATGGGATGTCAGATTTTAATAAGTTTTATGATAAATAATTAGTAAATATAGTTTTATTTAATAACAATATTTCCAAAGAGTTACACAACTGAAACTGAATTTTAAAAGATTTTAAAATACTATAGATTATTTTAATTAAAATTAAAAAAAAAAATTAAAACAAATTTTGTAAATTCATTTTACATTGAAAATATTTTTGTCTTAAGACAATATTGTCCTTAATATATATTATTCACAAAAGCAATTAAAATTAAATAATGTATTAGTTTTATTGAGTTTTTTTACTTTTCAACTGAGAATAGATTTTTGGTTTGTTTTTGGTTTATTTCGTTTTATGGCATATCAACACCTCAATGGGTTATTTAATGCTGACAAGATTTTTAGGATTGGTTCATATGAATAGAATATGAATTCTTTGTAAGAAATCAATTTGTAGACTGGGTTTCATTGATGTATTTTTGTAAAGAGGATTTTTGTTGAGAGTCTAATGTACTGACGGTAATATATTGCTGGCAATAATTTTTTTTTCAAAAATGTATTGCTATTAATAATTTTTCAAAAATTTATTGTTGGTATTTTTTACTATGAAAACCCATTTTTACACTTTCATAGTGTTTTCACCCCAGTTTGAGTTTTAACTATTTGCCCATAGCTTGGATCCTAACAGGTGCTACCATCCCAGGTCAGAGTGAAACTGGGAACAACAGCAATTAAGAGATGGTTCCGCAATCCTCAAAACCTTGTGATCAGAGGGCTTGCTGTCAGATGTAGTTTATTATCATACCCAGGACAAGCAGATTTTCAGTAAGATGGGGTCTGATCTTACAAAAAAAATATGTGATTAAAATTCTCTAAAGAAATCTCTTTTTAACTAATATAGTCAATTAAAGATTATCACATTAAATTTCTCAAATTTTCATAAAGATTATCACATTGACTTTCTCAAATTTTCATAAAGATTATCACACTGACTTTCTCAAATTTTCATAAAATTAAGGGAAACATATGTAAAAAAAAAAATACTTTTATCAACATTTTCTAATAAAAAAAATTTCTAAATTAATTTCATTCATTTGTGAATAAGTCTGGAAAATTTCATCGTGTCTTTCACTGCATAAAAGACATTGAAATTTGCTATGACAAAATATAGTACAGCCACTGATGCAAGCAAAACAATATTTTTAATCAAAATTTTAAATGTTCTAAAAAGGAGTAAAATGTATTAAATATCAAAAAATATTTTGATCTTTCCTCTTAATAATAACGATTTTTTCATTATGTTTGGAGCATGTTTTCATCACGGTATGCTGATTTTTTAGCAATTTCATGGCGGTACCTATGAAGTTCATAGATAGAATTATATGCTTACTTTTTTCATGGCTGTTGGGATTATTAATATTTGTGAATTTCTGTATTTTTCTCCTGTGGATTTTGAAGGCTTTGAATTTGGCATTGTGCAAGAAATAGTTTGGGTATTGGAGGAGTGTTTTATAAAGAACCAAAAGAAAAACATATATAAGTAAACATCTATACAAAATAAAATGGATGTTTGCATATGCCTGTATTTCAAAGCAGCAAATAACGAGCAGGGAATTTGCCAACTGAACTGATCAGTCAGGGAAAAAAGAAACTAGAGTAAAGAATTACTTACACGAGAAACATCTAACATTGATTGTATTTTGTAATGCGAATGTCAGTGTGTCACACTTTTTTCAACTTTACTCCTAGAGGCCATAGCCCAACATATCATACCATTTTGGAATTGGACCAACTCTGTGAAAACATTCCATTAAATACATTCCAAATTTTGGATCCCAAGTTTTCATTACTGCGATTGTTTTTGAAATTTTTTGATTTTTTGCGACAAATTTTTTTTGTATGATAACAATTTTTATAACTTGGAAATAAATTTGGGAATAATCAAAATTAATTGCAAAATCCAGCGAAAAGTACCCATGAAATAAAAAAAATTGTTTGTATGGAAAGTAAGGACCTACATACATCAAACTGTCTTTAAATTAAATGAACTTTTAAAAGGTAAGCTTAAATATTAATGCAATACTTAAATGCAGCAATCAATTTTGAGTTCATCTGTAGTCTATTGTTGCCTATTGTATCTACTCCTCCTATGTCTATTGTGATGAAGGCCCAATCAAGAGCTCAATGAGCAAGCTTTTAAAATATATATATAGGCTTTTAAGCTATATATATAAATATATATATATATATTTTGTTTTGAATAAAGGCCTTATTTTTATAAAGCAGATTAAACCAATGTTGTCTAATCAGTTTCTTGACATTGAGATATAAACATTATCAAGGTGTGGAAGCTTTTTAACTTTTGTACTTTCAAAATTTCTCTTTAAATTTTCTTTTTAATGAAAATTTTTGAAATATTTTTTTTTTATAAATGTGATAAAATCTTTTTTGTGTTGTTTTTTGATTTTGAAAAAATATGAACAAATTTTATAGTTATTTTAGAATTTAAATTTTTTTTATAAAACAAATGTTTTTATGCAAAACAGCATAATTGAGTTGTTTTTTTATTTTCTTAAAAGTGTCTAAATAAAAATTGACTTGAAATGAGACATTCTACCCAAACTGATTGTGCTTCAGATGCATTTCCTTTAAAATTCATTGTCAAAAAATGATCTGTATTGATGAAGCAAGGTTTGAATTACCTATTTAAGGAATGCACATTTCTTATTTCTATATCTGCTAGTTTCAGTTTTGTGGATGAAATGTAAACAATAGTTATTTTTTTAATGGATTTTTTTATTTTTTAATCTCCGTTTATCAAAAATTTGAAACCTTTCTTCTTCATATTGCAAAAAATATATTTTTTATAAAACAAATTTTTAATTTGAATAAAAAAAAATTAGTAATAGAAAAAATTTTCTATTATTGTTAAATTACCTGATTATTTTGAAAATGAAATTAAAAATTTCATTTTATATACTGTTTTTATGATTTATAAAGTTTAATTTTTTTTTTGTGCCATGAAAGAAATTTGCTTTCCAATGTTTAAAACTTTTTAAATATTTTTTGGGAGTAAACAAAAAATGGAAAGAGATCAAACAAAACAAATTTTGTTGATAAATCTTGAATTTAATCGAGCACAATATTCTTTTTTTAAATAATCAGGCTTTCAATTCAATTAATGAAAAATTTTGCTATTTATTTTTTGTTTAATTAAAAATGGAAAACACATTTTTCCAATATTCATTCATTCTTTGTTTTTTTGTTAATACAACAACCAATTTTTGAAAATTTTTCATTTTATAAAAAAAATTTCAAAGAAATAATTCTTTTCACGAATAACAATTAAGCTATTTTTATAACTGTAAGTATTTAATTTTTACCAATCAGAAGTTATGGAGTTGTTGATACATCCAGTTGAAAATAATTGACTTCTTTGGACTTTAATACCAAAAATTTTTATCTTAAAAACATAGAACAAAATTTCATATTATAAGTCCCTATGTTTTTTGCAAAATTAGATTAATTTTTTATTTTTTAAATTTTGAACCAAAGAAATCAATGGAGGTTTGTTTTTTTTATGTAAATAACATTTGCATGGGAGAAGGGTTGGACTCTGATCATCAGTGCAAAAATAAAACGCAAAAAATCTATCAGCACAAGAAAATGGGAAGAAAAGGGACAACTCAATTAAAAATCTCAAAAAAAAAAAAAGGTCATATGTTTAAGACGGTTTTGAAGACTTTCTCCCTTACATTAAGTGATTGTGGAAGAGTTTTAAACATTTTTTTGAATTTAAAATTCTTTTTCCAACAGTGTATGTTGAAAATCGCGCTATTTAAAAGATTTTATAACCTGTAAGCTTAACATATAATAATTCTGATATACCAATAAGTCCTTTTCTTTAACAAAGTAAATGTGACTTATTCCAGTGTCTCATTTTTATTTTTTTTTTTTGAAACAATCAAAATTTGAAATTTTTTTTTATAGAATTTTTCATTTTTTTAAACATTTCTCAAATAGTCTGAAATTTCAAAAACTTACAAATTTTTTTTTGTTAAAATTTCATTAAGCCACATTAATATTGATCTTGGCTTTTAAAAAATTTTGTTTTCTATTACTGATTTCAAAAAATTTTTTTTTAAAAAAATACTGAAAAAAACTTTTAAATCATTGTTCAATGCAATTTT